AGAGCACGGGGGCTGCTGAGCAGCTAAATGATACGATCCCTGGAATGGAAGAGAAATATTTTTCTGAAATTGTCCCAAAGGCATCCTGGAGTTGCTCTTGTAAAGGTATCTACGATGTATGAAGATTCTCACTGCGAGTTTTGCGTCGCGTCAGATGAGAGGATCTCCAGCGTCTTCAATGTGAGCTTCCCTGATGAAGACTTAGACGCTTGTCTATTCTTCATCCACAATTCTTCTTTTGGCGATCGCAATGCTGTCGAATATGCTTCAGCAGCCGAAAGCAGTGGTTCATTGTTCAGAATTCCTGTACTTGAGCAGGATGGCTTTGAACTGGGTGGACGAGTTGCATGGCAAGCCCCTTTGGAGTCTTTGCAGGACACTTCTTGCGAAGAGTGCTTGCTTCTTATCAAGTGGTTTGACAGTTTGACATCTAACTTCTGCAAGACGTTATCATGTTCCCACAGAGTCATAGAAACGAAATTATCTTGGTGCATCTCTGGATAGTACAGTACATCATAAGATGCAGACATTTGTATACATTAACAAAGAATTGTATACATTTGTGACATGCTATTTTGCAGTGCTTGGCAGGTCACTCATTATGCGATCTACCTTGCAGACGCTGCTGGCTGGACCGACATGTCTTGCTAGTTGTGCTCCGTCGGCTTTGAATCTTCCAAGTCGGCCAATTATCCACCAGGTCAATCTCTGCATACTAGCTTCTAGCTACTAGTAGTAATGGCCTCCAACCTACTAGCGATGGCCTCCAACCTAAAAGCGATGGCCTCCAACCTACTAGTGATGGCCTCCAACCTAAAGGCAAAGGCCTCCAACCTAAAAGCGATGGCCCTCCGACCTGATAGCGATGGCCTCCAACCTAATAGCGATGGCCTACAAAAGATTTCTGAAGTCTTGGAGACATTATTAGATCTTATTGGCTTTTACCCGCAGACACTTGTGAGAACAGCAGGTCAAGGCCGATCACTTCTTGGGACAGTTCCCCATCCAGGCCAAAACTGTTTTTGAGATGCATCCAGATGACGCACTTGAATCTGGACAACAAAGCAACAAGTAAGTGTAAGTGAGGGAACATGGGAACGGTTAAAGGAGTGAGTGCACTTTGGGGAGTGTCAGAAACGATTTGCTCCAAAGCGAGTAAGAGTGCATGTGTGCCGACTTGTAAGTGCGCTCACACATTCTATGACTCATCCATCCGGTTTTGCCCCCCTAGAAGTTCCTGCTGTCGTACTCGAAATGAGACAAAGTAGCATTGTTGCAAATTCATGTGAGAACCTTGCAAGGGAGATGAGCCAAAGGTGCTGCAGCTATGCAAAGGGCTGTTGCTATATGATATTTAAAGCATGTCAAGTTGTGACAACCCCCTCGTTGGTTCAGAGGTAACACAAATAGAAAGGCTTCGGGCCCAAACTTTTTTGCCAACTGTATTGGCAATTGTCAAACCCCTGGTACCCTGACCAGTTCTACCTTGACCTGTAGAGCCACGGACTAGTCAAGCTACAACGAGCATGGTTGACATCATCGTCATCATACTTATCTTCATTGTACTTCTTGTCGCTTCTTGTCCTTTTTAGGGATTGCAGGTCCAGCTTTTTGTGTGTGCTTGAACTCACAGAGACACCTGCTAATTAGTATTGGGAAGGTGTGGGCTACATAGACATGGTGCCTGACCAGGGCTTAGGCAGCTGTTCCTTGGCCAGTGCACATAAGACTTTCAACTAGCTTTGAGCAAACTCACAAGATGATACGCAAGAAGTTAAACAGCGATGTCCAAGAGTTCTTGTTGCCGTTTTCTGTTTGTTTTCCTTGTTCTGTCTAAGTCTCGACGGTTTTGGTCTACACTTCTTCACACCTGGTGGAGCAGACTACCCCTGTGGCACCTTGGACTCGGCACTGAGCAAAGATCAAAGCCATGCGAACGGATTGTTGCAACTCCAGAAAAGAGAGAGTTTTGACGCGACATGTTGCTTCGATTCTCTAAGAAAAGCGACGCTCTGAAGGTCTTTAATATCAGCGACACTGCATCCAGTGTCTCCGGAGTGGCGTTTACAGACAATGACCTTGATGAGACTTGGCATTGATGGTGTTTGCAGAATACTTTTTTGTTTATCACGGTGCCATGTGGAGTTCACCTAGTTCTTCATGTGTCCAGGCTCATGAGATTGGAGGCGATGTCTCATGGATTCCACCCAACGAAACCTCCCAGGCTAGCCATGGATTGAACTGTGTTTCTACTGCGAGGGACTTGCTCAAACATGGAAACTTTTTTTCCAGGTCACTGGCTATTCTTTATATTTGGATGGCTCCACAGTGAACCGCTCATCGGTGGCTTCCACACACACGAGTGCCTTGTTTGGAATTTGCAAGTGTATGTTTGAAGCAGTCCAATCTTTGTTTCATGTATTTTTGAGCAACAAATTGTTGAAGAGTGAAGAAAGTGAAGCCGCTAGCTGCTAGCAAAGCCTCAGGTGCCACTAGCTTGCCCATCCCCGGAGAGACTCTGCTGGGAGCCCGGATTCTCAAACTGCCTTCAGAAGCTTCAGGTAAGCTTGGAGCAGCTTGTCAATACCAGCTTGTAGTACCTGTATATACAACTACGTTCAGAAGTCCTGCTTGGCAAAGGCTTGTACCCTATGAAGTCGTCTCAGTTTACACGTTTTCTTCCTTAGCGGAGCAGACAACACCAACTAGCTTGCTCATCAGTGACTTGGTTCGCTTGGTTTGGGTCATTTTGGTTTGTACGACCTGAAAGACGAGCCTGAGACTTGCTCCACGCTACTTGTTTTCCTTGCCTTCAAAATGACAGTTGAAGATGCATTTCAGTGTACTTTGTTTTGCCCGTAGATCTTGAAGCATCAGCTTGGTGGGTCCTCTCGAAATTGCACCAGGTGACACCAGCTCAACTGTTGCGAATGTTCTCTTGGTGGACAAAGATTTGGACAATGCTGAACTGGGTGGAGAAATCACCTGGACTGAGCCTAGTGATGTGCAACAGGTGACGTTCTATGGAGTTTACCTTCAAGGCCACCAGCTGATTCGGTGGCTTTACAGAAACCTGCGCTTCAGGTTGCGCTTTGGATCGCTTTGACTTAGACGTACTTCGGATCGGTTTTACTTTGGCTTTCCCTGGAGGTGCCCTGGAAAACCGATCATTGATCGATGAGGTCCCTGTGAACAATGCGAACACTTCACTGCAGCCTGACACTGCGCTCGAGAACTTCACACATGTTGCAATCTACACCAGTGCCTTGCATGGATTGTTCTTGCTAGACTTGTGCAGTCAAGATGTCCTACCAAAACCAATGATTGAACACTTTGCATATGTTCATGGCTGTCATAGATGTCTTTCACATAATCTCCAACTGACTCAAGTTCAGTAAGCCGCTGAAAACAACATTAAAACAATCAAACCAATCCTGTTCTCTGTCAGGATCAAACCTGGTGGAGCAGAGTGTACCTGCCACCTTTAGCATCAGCCGCTGGCCTGGCTGACGTCAGAAAATGTCCGGAATGTGCGGACAATTGCGACATTTTGGGCCAGAAATGTATCAGGAATGTATGTGGGAGCATTGCCCAAAATACAACTGTGTTTTGACTGTGTGAATGTATATACATGTTTCTCCACATTTCAGTAAAGACATTTCAAGTTGGGACACAACTGGGGCGGAAGCAGCGACGAGGTGATAGCTTTGCACTGGTTACAGCTTTGGCGTTCATCGACGAGGACCTTGATGGCCAGGAATTTGGAGGTGATCTAACTTGGCAGGCACCAGCTAGTATCGATCAGATCACGCATTATGCGCCTTTGCAGAACTTCCAGAGACTCAAAAGCTTGGTATCGACAATCAAGTGTATTCTCATTCATGTGATTCCACGCTCCATGCAAGGCCTTTCGGCTCATGTCGCTTGTGTCTCAGGCTACTTACTTGGCAGACGAAGTCACCGGCACAAATCGCTCAAAACTTGGGTTGGACGTGCCTTTAGGCATAAATCAGCAATCGTTTCCAGAGGACAGCCAGAGAGGGAATTGAAAGCTGGAAATGATTGGACCGAGTTTTTGACATAAGATACGTAAGATTACGTAAGACATGGTGTTGATGCTTTTGCCAAAAGCACACAATCGAAGGACACAGCCAGACAAATCTATCTTCTTGTCTACACGAAGTCAACGTTGACCGAACAGACCACACCCGCTGCCCTCTTTGCCAGCCTGCCTGGCTGCACAAGATGCCCATGACAGAGTTGTCGTGTTTTTGCCGCAAAAGGTCCTGGTTGCTGAGGTGATTCGGCATCCCCAGTCATCAACATCACTTTTGTCGACAAGGCCAGGAATCGCAAGGAGGTGCAAATTCTTCTTGGCCAGAATAGGTCCACTGCTGCACCATTTTGCTCTATCAGCAAATACGTAGAATGACTCATGCAGAATTGGCTTTCACATCAAAGAATTCGTGAGTGCATGCGCTATACGACAAAACTAGAATGTGAGAATTGACTAGGACTTAGATGACGGCGAAATTGGCGGCAGCATTTTTTGGTATGAGCCAGATGACATTGAGCCGCTCAGCCAGACTGATGCGGGGTGGAAGAGATTGCTCAAAGTAGAATGAAGATGATGAAGATGAACAAACGCCATGTGAAGACACATGTCTCCGTCCATGATGCATCGAATATGTTCGGAGAGAAGTGCCGCGAAAGGCTTTGCGTCTAAGCCAGGCGTGTGGTGAAATACTGCGTCTACCGCTCTGCGGGTGCTGATGGCATCTTTGGTCGATCGAAGCTCTTCAACGATGTAATGCAAGGTGTCACTACAGTGCCGGTGACTGCAGAGCCTTGCCTGCAAATAAACAACATTCGTAGACCTTAGTAATAGTAATAGTAGCATCAAAAGATATGGCTGTTGTCCTGGTGTACTACATTGCTCAAACTGTTTCGACGTATAAATTTGTTCTGATCACTGATTTCCTGGATTATGCGCTGCATAGGACATGGCCATCAGCGTTTTTCAATACATTGCAGCAACGCCCTCAGAGGGCAAAGGCAGCCAGATCATTCTGACCACGCGAGTAGCATGGGCCAGGGTCCAAAAGGGTTTGAAGATACGGCTGCTTGTATCCTTCGCAATGTCCATATTTGGGGTATTGGGGTGCCATTTGTTGCCTCCCAGCGGTATCAAGCAAGTGTTTGCTGCCAGGTTTACTCCATGTCGGCACTCTATGAACAGAGTACGCCAGAGGTGCTTGAGATCAATGACACCGTGGCGAAGGTGGGTTTATGAGAGCTGGATTATACTTGAAACTGACTTAGACTCTAGGTTGGAGGCTATCGCAATTAGTTTGGAGGCCATTGCTATTACCTGTGGCCCCTGAGCTTCTCAGGTGAACATCCTGAGTTTTACAGATCAGGACTTGGATGAAGGTCAGTTGGGAGGTAATATTTCATGGCGGCCACCACAAGACACCTCACAGGCGGGATGACCAAGAACCATGTAACGAATGAAGAGCAAACTTACCCAGTGATGCTTCCCTCATTTCAGCAGAAAGACTGAACGCATGTAGTGTAGCAGCCCATTCAAAGTGCTAGCGCTACTGTTTTCAAATAAATCAAGCCAGAAAAGGACGGCTACCAAATACTACAAATACAAATCTCTGTGAGGTGACCCACTATCGTGCGTATTTGGCGGAAGATGCAGCTGGCCATATCGAACGATCCCCGATGTTTCTGGAGACACCGGTTGGAACCAATCAGGCAAGTGTGCGGGGGGAAACGAGGGAATTAAAACAGAAGAATGGCACAAGCAGGTTGTAAGCCCTTCCCACAGAATTGGACTCGGATCAACACATGGATAGCCCAGCACCACACCTCACAAAAGTGTATTTGGAGAGTAGAAAAGTTATTGCATGTAATGATTGGCCAGGATCTCTTGCCCACAGACAGCACCGTTGTGAATGCTACACATTTGCTGATATACACAGTGTCTTCTTTGGTGGAGCAGTCTACACCCGCACTCCAGCTGCAATTGTTGAGCCTATCCATTGCTGCAGACAGTAAGTCAATCCCATTCAATGAATGACATGTCTTTCACGAGCAGCGAGCTGAACAGTCGCATGTCTGACATGAACCAGGATTACTTTCTATTCTTCGACATGATGGCCAGCGTCTCCAACGTCACTTAAACAGCAGTATTAGTATGGCCCCTGCGGGACACAGAGAAATAAATTATTCGTTACAATCCAAAGTAGCAGTTCATCATGCACTCTACGAGGTGAAACTAGAGGCATCGCCTGGGTATGCGCGTATTTTTATAGACCCAACAAGTTCTGTGAAGGAAGTGGAAGACAGTTTTTAGACTCTGTAGACTAGAGTCTGCAGATGGTTGTAGGCCGATTGTAGGGTCTTGAACAACCTGGGGACCTGTGAGGCTTGTAGATGGATCGGAAATGATTCAGAGATGTTGAGAGGCCGAGGCCACTCAAGGTCAAACATTCTGAGACAATCAGCGTTGACAAAGGTGATTTTCCTAGACAAAGATGCGGATTTTGGACAAGTTGGAGGTGTTGTTGCGAGCTCAGCAGAAATCCTAAATCAGGAATATGTTCAAACATGGTCACTAGTAAGGTTGGAGGCCATCCCATCGCTAGTAGGTTGGAGGCCATCGCTTCTAGGTTGGAGGCCATCACTAGTAGGTTGGAGGCCATCGCTAGTAGGTTGGAGGCCATCGCTATTAGGTTGGAGGCCATCGCTTCTACGTTGGAGGCCATCGCTATTCGGTTGGAGGCCATCGCTAGTAGGTTGGAGGCAATCGCTTTTAGGTTGGAGGCCATCGCTATTAGGTTGGAGGCCATCGCTTCTACGTTGGAGGCCATCGCTTCTAGGTTCGAGGCCATCGCTAGTAGGTTGGAGGTCATCGCTAGTGGGTTGGAGGCCATCACTAGTAGGCTGGAATCTATATTGGGATGGGTTCGGTCTTTGCCATCTGAAGAAAGACTCGATGTACTTTCATAAAGAGCGTCTCAGGTTGAATGGCAAGAACCCAGTGACACCTCCAGAGTCACACACTATGTGGCCTACTTTTCACAAGATGCTGCCGGCCTGGGTAAGTCCCAGATTGGCGTCGACCTTCCTGACACTTGGTCTAGATATTTATGTCTAGATCATTGATCTAAGTTCACGAATTGCCAAGCCAAGAGCATAAACACAAATATTTCTTTTTGGGCATTGCTTTACCACTGATATTTGTTGTTCCAGACGCGTGTTGCGCACAGGAAGGCGAACTCAACGTCACAGTTCCAGCAGACACTCAACTAAGCTATGTCGACGATTCCGCTGGCTATGCTGTGGTTTTCACTCGGTCCTTTTTGACCGAGCAGACGACCCCCAGAGCCCTGGAGGCCAACTGCACATGCACGATGTCATGCATTCCTCAAGCACATGCTACACACTGCCAAAAGCGCTCTCCATCTTGTTGAAAGTAGAAATCATAGCTACCAGGGGCTTGGAAAAGTGAATTGAGTTTCGAGTTTGAGGTTCTAGAAAAGGTGCATTAGAAGCCCAACAAACACAAAACGTCACATGGCACAGCTTTGCAGGTTAGTGACACTGCTTCCTCTATCCCATACCTTCACTTCACCGACCTAGACCTGGACGAGGGGCAGATTGGTGCCAAGGTTGCAAGAACCTGCAAGCCACATCAAGCCATCAGATCTTCACTACAAAAGCGCGGTGTTCTTGCATGTTCAAGTATATCGTTTGTGCTGATATTTTGTTCACAGACGGTTTCCAAACACCGCAGTGAACGGATTTGTAGCAACTGTCCCGTCCCCGGCCGTCTCGGGCAAGACGTCCTCAAGGTGGCTACATGCAGTGGCAATCTCCGGAGGAGAATTTGTGTGAAATGTGATTCTCGTTGTTGTTTACAGTATATCGATTTGTACCTGTCATGATTCTTTGGGCTCTTTGTCCCCTTCAATTCTGAATTTGTCTATCCCTGCAGGACAATGGAACTATAACACACTACAGGCTCTACGCAGCAGAAGACGAGCTTGGCACCAACAGGACACCTTTGTTGCTTGTAGCTGTTTCTTGGTACCACAACAATCCTGGCCTAGGTATTCCATGAGCCAAAGGTTGTGTAGTAGTTACATTGTCAAAGAAACTCTCGGAACCGACTGGTAGGATTGCTTTATGTTTGAGGACTCGACTCTCGGAAGTGGCCTTCGGTACCACAGAGGCCCTTTTGCCGTGTCTCGGATTTTCAATGCGAAGCTACTCTCAATATATAGGTTTGTGTGACATCTGCTGCTGTCCTTCTCAGCGATGTTTGACCCCTTGTCCCTAGAGTTAAAGGCCAGGCGGCCACCCTGGTATTTTGAGCCGATGACTTGATGATGATTCCACGAGATAGATGAACTCTTTTCTCAAAGCTGCCTTTCTGGCAAGACATACGCTGGCCTAGTCACTGCTTACCTTCATCCATGTCGTGCTGTATGCGGCTGAAACATATTCTGGACTCAAAAGAACTGAATGCTCAACTCAACCAATTGCTCATGTTATCATTCATGCAGATGCAGATGCATTTTGCTAGTCATGCGTGTCTCTTTGAACTTGCTCCTTGCATCGTAGCAACAATATTGATATGATGTATGGGATTTAGGGTTGACTGTACCTTGCTGGTTTGGCTGAGGGCAGATTTCGATTTGCACAACTACACCCATCTCCTCATCTATGCCAAGACAGAGGTAAGTGAACAGACAGTCCCTACCTTCCATGTCATCAAAGATGAAGTCGTACCTCGGAGAGGACCAAAGTCACGTTCGATGTTCGATGGTGCTGTATTTTTGAACTGTTTAACTAACCGTAACCCTTTTTTGAGATCTCAGGAGGTTTGAGTTTGCCGCGGATCTTTTAAGGCAAACGAATCATACAATTTCATCAAACTCAAGCTGAGTTTTGCCCTGTGATTGGCCTTGCTCTCAGGCCATCGTTTCTCACGTAAATCTTGCGGACAAGGACTTGGATCCTTTGGAACTGGGCGGTACTATCACATGGCCGGGCTCATTCATGGCAAACTCTGTCGACAGTGCACTTTGTTCACAAACAATTTTTAATTAGCAATTCAGCATAGATTTCCACCAACTGTTCTCAAGAACTTGTATGGTAGAAAGGGCACATGCCTTTGGTGAACAGACCAAACCCTGCAGGTCCCTGGGCCCGTACTCTGAGTCTGTGTAACTGGAAGCATTTTTCTTTAAGATTCAGAAAGAAATGTCAGCAAACAACATCGTGTAAAGGCAAGGTAGACCTGAAAGCCGCCTGAAAGCAGAATGGAATTAGGATACCTTCGATGCCTCTATGTGCAATGCGGCAGGTCTCCTCCCGACACCTTGACACTGGTGACAGGCTACGTTGTGTATTTGGCACAAACAGCAGCAGGCCTCGGAAACGTAGCGGTCAGGGATGGTCTGGTTTTGGAGGCACTTCATATGTGAACATGCAATGCCAGATCATCCATTGTATATTCGAAACATTCTGTTTGAGTCGAAATCCCAGTAATTACCTAAGGACCTATGGTAATTGATGTTCTGTAAGGCTTTTGGAGGTTGCACATTGCTGAAACATGCTGAAACTGGTTCAGGTCCTGGTCCCGGTCCCACCCTTTAATTTGCAGTTTTTAACTAAGTGAAAATGCACACACAATGAACTGCATACCCAAGAGATTTTAAGAGCTGAATCAATCGATTGGACACTGCGGAAAGCAGTGTGGGATCTTCTACTCAGGACATTGAAGGTAGCTTGAGGGCTTTTAAGGACCTTTCTTGACCTCAGTTTGTTTGATTTTTCTGGCCAGTCCTTAAGCCATTGTTTGAATGGAAATGAATCATCATGCTCAAGGGAAGCTTTGCGGTGACCTTCAACCTTCAATAACTCGTCTTTTGGCAATTGAATGTTCCTACAGTATCACCTCCAATAGCCCAAAAACATCAACATATATACATATATATAATATCAAAACAATCAACTCATTATTTTTTCATTTTTCTTCTGTCTCTGTTTTCCCAGGTCTCAGTCACAAAAGCTGTCAAGCTTGTCCAATCCAACAACTCTGCACCAGAACGGCGAACCCACACATCCTTGTCTCTAACTTGTCTCTCCTCGTCGGCGTTTCCCAGTTCCTTCTCAGCCTCTCTTCTTTCCGACTCCTTTTCTTCAGTCTTTTCTTCTCAGTCTTCCTATCTCTTTCTCAGTCCCTTTCAATCAGTTCCTTCTGCAGGGACTGCAGACCCCAATTACCGCTATCCCGGGCTGCATACTTACTTTCCCCGACTTGCGCTGCCACTACAAATACAAACACCCAACGCAGCACAGTTGCGGCTTTGAGCCGCAAAAGCATTCGGCAAATCTGGGGCAGCTAGTCTTATACCATTCATTCGCTAATCAAGCATTCAAACTCTTTTCAAATCCGACATGTGCCACGCTTGGCTCTGTGGCCAAAATCTTCTTTAGATTAGATCTTAGCGCCGTTGGCTCCAAATTAGGAGGGTTTCACTTAGGAACCTTGCCATTCGTCGGGTGCAAGCATTTTGCTTTTCCGTTCTGTCTATGCGGTGCAGTTCCATGGCAGCATGGTGAATGGACTTCACTGCTGAATGCTACACTGCATTTAGTATTGCCACTGAAATATCGCCATGTGTTCTCCTTGCAAACAGGTATGTCAACCAGGTACACATTCTGAAATCGCTTGAAATCGAGGGCGGAAGGCTTTGGATTCAGCTGCAGTGACAAGCCTATTTGGACCGGGCTCCTGGCCGTACTACTAGGAGCAAGGATGCTACTAGGGACACGGTCGGACAAATCCAAATTCTGCAGAAATCCTAAAGCTGATTCCTGAGACATCCTGAGACTCTGGCGCCGCGAGACTCTCAGACATTTACAGGAGTATGAAGCAAACATACAGTGTACATATATATATGTGTGTGTATGAGGGTTTGCTCAAGCACTTGCTTCTTACAAAGATCAAGCAGTTTTTCACAATTTTCATGTCTAGCCAAACTATCCACAGTACAATCCTCAAATTCTGCTCGAAGAGAGCGGTGCGTTTGTGATATCAGATCAAAGGAACTCAAACTGACATTTGCTTTCTGTTCTAAAGTCGCTTTACCAAACCAGCTTTTGTCTGGAGAGAGTCATTATATAGAGGTTTTGTATTTTCACTGAAGCACAATCGTGCAGTAATATACCCGCCAGCCGCATTGTGTGCAAGGGCAGGTTGAACAAGCTTTAGAGCGAAAACTGATGACAACATGTTCCAATCCTTTTGTTGGTGCCTTGCCGAGCGGTCTTCGGCATTTGACTGTGTTGCCCTCCAGTGTCCAAAAAGGTCTTGGTCTTGGAGCCATTGGATCTTGCGGGAGGATCCTGTGTGTGAGGTTTGGTCCTGAACAGTACTTACAACTGCTACCAGTGTAGGTAACTGTTGTTCTCATTGTCATTTCCACGCAGGGCACCAGCTTCTGTTTCAACGTTCAAGCTTTGGGGTTCTCGAAATCGGTTGCAGTCTGGTAGTTGATGGAATCAGGCACTTAAGGATCGAATCATGCTCCAAGCATGCGACTCCAATGAAATTGTTTTCATTCAAGATCAAACACACACAACCCCCCTTTTTTTTTTTTTCTCTCTCTCTCTCTCTCTTGAATCTCTCCAGCGGACTCCAGCGATCTATGACACCTTCTACACAACCTACTGATGGTTTCCCTACCAAATCGGAAATTAGCTCAAAAGCTTCAACTTTGATTCCGAGAAAATTTGCTGGTTCCCTCAGCGACCGATAGGTGCAGGAGCTTCCCACAACCATCGCATGACAGGTATTCGCCCCGGCCTGGCTAAATCCTTGAGAGGTCGAAATCAACGGCTGGCAACAAATCAACAAATCTGAAGGGGAGCCCCCGAACTGAGGAGCTTAACAACTGGACTGGCCAAACTTTACATGTTGGTCGCAGGGGCAATAGCGCTATCGGTGACGCTTAGCGGAGGTGCACTGTTGTCTCTCCCATTTTGAGCCTGTACAGGTTGACACCCCGGTCCCACAGAAAATCGCAATGTGGCTGACAAGACTGACAAGACTGACATTGCCCCGTCACGCACCGAGCAGAAATGCAAAAGGGCATTTGGCAGTGACACCACAGCGCGCAAAGGTAAACATCCCAGTCAGAAAGCCTAATAGCAATGGCCTCCCCCTAAGAGCGATGGCCTCCAACCTACTAGCGATGGCCTCCCATTCAGAAAACAAGATTAAAGAAATCCCATTAGAATATCGAATTAATATTCCGCTTTTGGCTGATCGGGGAACCCGACAAATGTGGCCAGGTGCAGAGCGAGACAACGTGAATGGATTCATATCAGTGGCCACCTCAGATCTACTTTCGAAAACCCTTTTCAAGACTCAAGGCGCTCCACTCTTCTTGCTTGTAAAGTTTGACCGTGAATCTGTCAAAGAAAGAAGACCGTTTTTTTTTTTCCGAAAGAACTACATCTAGCATAGGTGGTGAGCATAGGTTTGGAACAGACAGCGGTACCGGTAGTTGTGATTTGCCACTTGGCCTCATTCTCAGTGCCAGGTTGGCAGTAACTTTGTCGATCTTGAGCCTGAGAAAGCCCAAAATGCCTCTGAATACGTGGTGGTGTTTACGTCTTCTTCGCTGACTGAGCAGACAACACCAGCATTCTTTGCTTTAAGCGATTCCTCCTCCCAAGTACTGAGTATAAACTTTACAGTTACTTGGCAAATCTTGGCAGAACTGTGTCGTGTGAATGTGCGTTCAGATTTCTTGACAGACAGCCTCGACAGATTTCTTGTACTGGAAAGCGAAACGATTGAGACACGGTCGGCCGCTTTCGGGAGGATTTGGACCTGGACCTCGGCGACTTGGGAGGAGAAGTGGCGTGGCAGCCTTCCCTCGACGTTGCCCAGGCAAGGAACGCAACGAGCGCGGAGATGCAAAGGCGTTGAAGATACGATTTACATCGCATTTTTGTCCACAAATCGTGTTACAGATTTTCATGTGACAAGTAGACAAATGTAGCTGGAGGAAGCACTTGCTCCGTTTGACTTCAGTCGCTTCAGTCTTCTGAGTCTTTTGGTGAAATTTGAACAACTCCGTTTCTAAAACCGAAAGCAGGCGTCCTATTTGTACAGCATATGGAAATGTAAGCGGCACAGCCGAACTGAAGTGTTGACCGTTGTTTTGCGGCGGCTGGTCATATGATTTTGCTGTGTTGATGTGAAGATGCGGGGCTCGTGGGCCTTACTACTAGGAGCAAGGACGCTACTAGGGGCTCCTGGCATCGCTACTAGGCACAAGAAGCTTCTAGTAGCGATGCCCTTTGCTCCTAGTAATCTTTGGCGCCGTTACGTGAGTTTCATGTGGCGAAGAGGAGTGTGTACCTGTGACACGTGTTTTGAATTTATTCTCTAGAAACTTAGCTTATACCGCTCGATAAGACTTTTGGTACCTTTCCCTAGAAGCCTCTACTTGTTAGCATTCTTCTATAGTACTTATAGAAGAATATAGGGCTTCTAATTGCATTTTGTTTTTTTTCTAGACATTCCTGGTTCTCAAAATTTCTCTAGCTTGAGCAGCTCTGATAATGCGTTTGAATCCTTTGCTTCCATTCCCCTATGAAACTGCACCACTGCCTATCACCATCCGCCAACCTTCCGCGCTACCGACATTTCGCGTTTTGAAGCATTTTCAAGTTCAAATTTTGCACAGATCTGTGATGAGGCTGGGGGAACGCACCTGTGCCAGCACGCCACGCCATGCAACTCACACAAGTTTGGGACCCTGCTACCCCCCCGACCTGCTTCTCATTGATCTTCCTTTCCTATTTGCCCGCACTCATTGGTGCGTGTCTCCAAACATGCGCAACTCTCCAGTGGAACTTCAACGCAACTCGGATCTTTCCGACTCTTGCTTACCTATATTGCTGTTGCTTGTGCTACTCAACTAAAAGAACCATGTGTTTGAAAAGATGTCAGGGGCAGGTCGCTGTTTCTCGGCAGGTCACGGGGTACTTCATCTACTTCAGTCCTGCTGCGGATGGAGCTGAAAGATCCTTGCTGGGCAACACATCAGACTCTGCGACTGGGCACTACACAGTGCAGTGACCATGTGAAGCTATTTGCTGGTGTTTCTTGCAAGTAAGCTCTGGGTCGATACCGTCCAGTTGGATCATTCTCGTGGGATGATTCATGTACGTTGAATATAAAGGCATTCTGAAGAGCACCATCAACAGCTAGCAGCTAGCAACAACATCCTTTCAAGGGCCAAAGGTCGTTGTGGATTTTCTCAGGTGGATCGTATTGGCTTGTCGCACAACCAGAAGACCGGGACCCTGCGGCACGTCTTGGTTTATGCTTCATCTTCTTTGGCCGAGCAGAGCACACCACTGTCCTTGCCCTTCAATGAAGCTCGGACAGACGATCAGGCAACCCATAGCAAACCATAGCTCATGAAGACAACATTTCTTCCAACCTGCGGTTCACTGAGATGCTGAGCCAGAGAATATGCATAGCGTTGCACGGCTACTTAGTTCGCTTTCTTAGCAATCCCAAGGACACAGATTCCAGTGTCTCAGCTGTGAACTTCACAGATCGTGACTTAGATGCTGAAGAGCTTGGAGGTGAGCTCCTTGGAGATCGGTGTCAGATCGGTAAGCTGCCAAGAAATGCTTCAGCATCGACATGGCTTCTGAGGTTTGATCAGTTGGGCACAGCCTGAGGATGCATCGCTAGTGACCCATTTCTTGGTGTACCTTGCAGAAGACCAGCAGGGCAGCAATCGCTCGCAGGCGCAGCAGCGCAGCCTGCAGACGGAGATGTTGTTCACGGGTCCCCATGTGCAAGCTGCGCAAGCTTCACAGTTGCCAGGTGAGCGAGGTGCACAGTGTGCGTTTTGAGTCCGATTTGGCACCTGAAGAAGCCCTGAGAGAATCTCGACTTAAATCATTTGACTCTTTAAAGGATCGTGTTTCATTGACTTTTGAATGATTTGCCTTTTGGATCAAGATCTCTAGGATGATCTCAGCTTGTCCAGTCTAGGACTATAGCCATATTCTGGTCTACACCAAGTCTAGCTTGACGGAGCAGACGACCCCTTCAAGCCGCTTGACATGAACGTATACTCGCCCTATTTGCATGGCCTCCTTAGGGTGTTTGCAGAAGCTGTTGGAAGCTGTGGTCAGGCGTGCATGGTCGATGTTTTGCCTGGGTCTATTCAACAGACTTTAGCAGCACAGCTGTTTTGCCCAAAATTTTCACTTTTTAGTGGAGCAGGTACAAGCCAGAGCTGAGGCCTGCCTATCACTGACAGCAATGCGTCGGTCACTGTTGCGCAGTTCATCGATCAGGAACCCAAAGGATTCAGAAGATTTCTTGTGCAACAGCCCAAGGGATCCAGGATGGTGTTCGAGTGTATTTCTCAGGACTTGGACGCCTATGACTTGGGTGGACCAATCACATGGCAAGTGTTGGGCGATGAGACGCTAGTCACCCACTACGACATATATTTGGCACCTTGCTGTTGATCGGGCCATGATGCTCTGTATTTTGGACAATACATTCTCACAATGTAGAATCAGTAAATCAATTTTTAGAGCTTGGTTGGATATCCTCTTGTACTGGCAGACTGTCAAGCCGACTGTCAAGCCGATGACCAAAGTGAACGATGCAGTATGACAAACCATGACAAACATTAGGAGCAAGAAGCTAATTGTAGCTGGCAACATTTTTCCAAACCGACGAGTTGAGTCGACTTCGACACCAATTTCCTTCGACACCATTTTTCCAATCGTTCCACTTCGGTCGAGAGAACACCGACTTCGGACGAGTTGAGTCGACTTCACCAATTTCCTCGAATGGGTTCCAATCGTTCCACTTCGGTGTCGACTTCGAACACCGACTTCGGACCGTGACAGATTCACCGATCGGACCGTGACCATGTGCTCCATGGTCGTTGAGGTGTCCAGCGTATCCGCCCGCGGGAGCAACCGCTCGCAACTGGGCACTACTGAGGCGCTTGATTTGGTGCGCCAAGCCTTGCCAAGCTTTTCCTGCTCCAACGATCTTCGAGATTCTCCTTAACAAGTCTACACTTGCAATACTGTTCTTAGGAATGCTAAAACAAGACAGAAGTGTTCAGAATTCTTTTGGCAAACAGCGAATGTGTTTTCAGGTGGGTACAGACTTCATCGACGTGCCTGTAGACTTTGTACAGGGGCTTCTGACACACATCCAGATCTACACACGTTCCTATGGACGCACTCCAACGCATGCAGAGGCCCTTTCAAACCATTTCAATCGTTTGTGTTCTTGCCCATTCATCTTGAGGTTCTTCACTCGTGGAGCAGACCACCCCATATGTTTTTGTCGCTCGGTGACCGAAAGGGACCAAATCATGAAATCGATCGTTTGTGCACTTAGGCGATCAACAACACCAATTCCAGCGTCTCGAACATCGTCTTCCTTGATGATGACTTGGATGACGATGAGTTAGGAGGGAACATTTCATGGCAGCTGCCAGAAGATCTCTCCCAGGCAACCTGGATGCATTTGTTCTTCACCAATGGGGAATCTTTCCTTAAGCCATTGGCAGGTGTCTCACTACCTTTCCTACTTGGCAGATGACAGCAACAGATCACAGAAACTCAGCTTCCGACTTTGCAAATCTTTACTCTTAAGGCATTTTGGCACCGTGGCCCTGCTGGCACTCTCGCTTTGAATAAAGCTCCCAAACGCCAAACAGAGGAACACGTTATCACTTAATGTGTGTTTTAGGAGTGTTTCAACCCGTTGGAAGTTGTTTGTCAATGCCAAGTCGCTGCACAGGATAGGCTCTGCACTGAGCGTCCAAATGGATCCCATCTCTTTCTTGGAAGCAGAACAGCCGCAGCTGAACTACACACAAGTCTTGGTATACACCAGGCGGAAAGCTTGTTTTTTTGCAGAATAGAGCAGATACTGAGTTGGAACTTGGAGAGATTGGCTGATCCAAAGTGTCTATACAGGGATTTGTTTGTGAAGCTCACATGAGCTATCAGCTGCTAGAAAGCTGCTGATGAGGCATGTTTGAGGGGTTGATCCTATCAAATAAAGTTGCACCGCGTCAGGTCTGTGTTGGCAGAGCAAACCAGTCCAGCGGTCACAGAAATCAGTTGCAAAGCTGCAATAGACGTTGAATACGTTGCAACTTCCGCTGGTTTGTTTTTGCAGATTGCAGAAGAACTGTTTGAAGAACACAAGCCACCCAGGCGATACCTTTGCGACTGTCCAATCGCCCAATTTTACGGACCAAGACCTTGATGAGGAGGACTTAGGTGGCACGCTGTCTTGGCTTGAGCCAGTTCCTTGGCTCCAGATCTACGACGGAGCCGAAGTTTCGGGGCTACATACTGTACCTAAGGTACCTAGAGTTACCTTCACAGAATTATAGGTCTGAGATAAAGTGTGTGGTTGGTTTAGTTCTACGCCTTGATGCAAGACTTGTGTACCACGGGACACCCAAAAGCCCTTCAGAAGGCAGTTTATGCCACGTGAATTTCAGTTTGTGGGACAACCGTGCAGGCTGACAATGCTCGGTCTGCTTGGTATGTTATCTACCTGTCGACGGACGCAGTGGGTGCCGGGAGACAAATGGTTCCTTGGCTGTTTGGTTCTGTTCTTGCAGACAAAAGCATTTATAGGACAGAAGACAGAAGTACTAGAAAAATCCGCATGTTATGTCCCTGTGCGGAAGATTTGGGTGTTGCATGTTTTGGCTATTGACTTGCAATGAATTGCATAGTTGGCATAGTTTGCAGATTCCCCAAATGAGGCTTAGCATGTAATATTGAAGCCTTCTTTGAGTCAGATCGAGTCAGATGATTGATTTAGACGTTTAGACCTCCACTTCGTTCGCAGTGTTCGTCTCAAATCAGACATATAACGAACTTCCTCATGCGATGGCGAAGAACAGCAGCGGTTGGGGAGAGTCCCAATGGGTGAAGCGGGAAGAGAGAACCGGTTCAAAAGGAGATGGGATGACAAAGGGCGGCAAAAAGGGCCAAAAGGGTCAGAAGGGGAAGGGCAAAGGTGACGGAAAGAAGGGATGGCGAAGAGAAGAGTGGAGAAGTGAAGAATTTGAGGAGAGTCGAAGTCAACTGAGCAGCCATGCTCAAGACTTCATCCCCTCTGGATTGTATGACTATGATTTTTTATCTCTTCAATACTGGGAGATGCAAAGTGACACGCATGGCTGGCGAGAATTCGCTGACCATGAAGGTACAAAGTATTACCATAACTCCAAGACAGGAGTAACTCAGTGGGAGCGTCCTCCCGAGCTGGATTTACCCCCAGAGACAAAAGTGAAGCCTGCCGAAGATGGTCAAATGAAAGGCTTCTCTCGCAAGAAAGATCCTCGAAAGGAGGGGAAAGGACATTTTGGAAAAGGTGGTTTGAAGGATTCTAACGGCCGAAAGGAGCGCTCCAAAGAGACCGGCACCAAAAAAGCTTCTTGTTACTAGTAAGGCCAGGAGCTACTAGTAGCGCCCTTGCTCCTAGTAGCGATGCCCTTTGTTCCTGGTCGCTTCTTGTTACTAGTAAGGCCAGGAGCTACCAGTAGCGTCCTTTCTCCTAGTAGCGTTGCCCTTTGTTACTAGTAGCTTTTTGTTATTAGTAGTAAGGCCGGCCAGGAGCTACTAGTAGCGTCCTTGCTCCTAGTAGCGATGCCCTTTGTTACTAGTAGCTTTTTGTTATTAGTAATAAGGCCGGCCAGGAGCTACTAGTAGCGTCCTGCTTCTTGCTACTAGTAGTAAGGCCAGGAGCTACTAGTAGCGTCCTTGCTCGTAGTAGCGATTCCGGCCGAAAGGAGCGGTCCAAAGTTTCCAAAGAGAAAGAAGATGGAGTCTTTGGCCCACCTGGATGCAACTTGTTCGTTTTTCATCTACCCGATGAGTGGGGTGATGAGGATTTGATGGAGCCACTTGCAAGCACGCATATCTCCCAATTTGTCACATTTGTTCTTGAAACATTTCTTGAACGTAAAGCGACTGTAGCTTCCACTTTCGCACGGACATTGAACAGACTTTGGCAAGAAAACTCCGGTGGAGCCTTCACAGTACCGGTAGCATTGTCTAACGCTGTGAGAGATAAACTTGACCGAGGTACTTTGGGCCATACGGCAATATTGTGAGTGCTAAAGTGATGAAAGAGCTCGGGACTGGGCGTTCCAGGGGCTTTGGCTTTGTGAGTTATGAACTGCAATCTGATGCAGCTGCTGCCATCAAGAAGATGCAAGGCTACAAGATCCTGGGCAAGAGGCTCAAAGTTGAATTCAAGAAAGGTGAAGAACCAGAAGGCGAAGAGAAGAGTGAGAAGCAGCCTGCGAAGACAAGCTGTGATGACGAACGTTTGATTGGATATTTGCGAGCTATTTCCGCCCAGTCAGTGGTTCAGTCCTTGCAGGAATCGGCTGAAAAGGAAATAAGTCTAGACAGTGAACCGAGTCCGAATCCGGAATAATTCCAGTTTCACCTTTCTAGAATTTTCTAGATACGTCAAGCTGACGGAAAATGGGATTTCGTTCGACCGCATTCAAGATCATCCGAGAACCTGCGCAAGAAGGAATCCTTCCATATTTTCAAGCATCATTGAAGGAAGATAACAAATGGACAAAGGATGACAAAGGCTCAACCATTGTCCAAGTTGTTTATACCAACAGATTGACCACCACTGTCCTGTCGTGTGTTGTCGTGGCCGGTTGAAGATCAATGAAGCTACAGAGATAGAATGCGTTGTTTAAGCTTAAAAGCATCCCGGGCCCTGAACCATTGACACAAATTGTTCAGGTTTTAGTGCTAAACTACAGTGAAGACTTGTTTGATTGCACCATATTGTACTCAACGGCAAAGGTTGGAGCAACCTCCATTGGAACTAATGAACTACAAGTGCCAGCTGACACCACAAGAGATGCTCGTCAAGAAAACTTCTGCATATCATTTTGAGATGAGACCATCCTTAAAGGTTGGGTAGGTTGAAGGCCATCGCTCTTAGGTTGGAGGCTGTTTAGAGTGTCTTTTCGTTGCTATGATTGCCAGGATTTGCTGGCACCGTAACCTGTTTTGGATTTTCTTCTGTGCCTTGTTTCATTGTTTGAGCCTTGTTTCAGCTCAGCACTCCATTCGCAAAGTCTTTGCTTCGCTTTGAGGCCCCATTCAATTTCTTCACCCTGTTCACTCGTTCAGCTCTGGCGGAGCAGACAACTCCAGTCTTTTGGCTCTGAGAGCATTTCAAACAGAAAATTGGGATCGGATAGAGATCACCATCTAGAAGACTTAGCATTTTGGATCACCAGAAACTCAGCAGAGCACACAATTACAATGCATTCGTTTGGCAACATGCGAGCTCGACTGTGATCCTTAGGTTGCTTTGGCCTTGAGTGATACGATTGCCAGCATCTCCTCCATGGCCTTCCTTGACCTAGATCTTGACGAGGACAAAGATTGCAGAAAACTGCACACTCCCCAAGAGCACCTGTAAGCAAGATCGAATCAAAGTGGGCCTGTTTCACAGTCACTAGAGGTACATGTTGGTGGGCACAAGGTGTCGAACCCCAGAAAATTGCATGACCCCAACAGCCTCATCGCTGAAGAGGGGCCATGTAACGCAGGTGATCACCCAATGGTGCTTGTGTGGTCAGAGTCAGTCGAGAGAAGTACAGTAAATCTCTTACCTCAGACGACCCAACACTCACAGCACACTTCCACGACCCAATGCGGTAGTAACAAGTGCATCGCTAGTAGTAACAAGTGCCTTACTAGTAGTAACAAGAAGCTAGTAGAAACAATAAGCTAATAGCGACGCAATCGGTTCGGAACAATTGCAGGGATTTGCCTCTCGGTCAGATAACAAAAGGGCAGCAGTTTTTGCTGAAGGTGATGCCAAAAGGTTGAACACAATGGCACCAAACCACTTTTTTGGGGGTGCTAAAAGGTGAAATCCAAGCCACAAGGTGGAATCCTTTATGATTTTCTTTTACAGATTTAAGAAGCTACTAGGGGCTCCTGGCCGTACTACTAGGAGCAAGAGGACGCTACTAGGGGCTCATAGAGAAGCGTTTCAAGAAAATGGATTGCAGATCCCGCCTTTGGGTGCCTCCAAATGAGAACCATTCTAGCAGATTCTAGCATCGAGCAGCAGTTGCTTAGTCATGTGGAAATTGTGCACTCCATACAACGTCCAGCGTGGAAAAGACAACATACACTGAAGTGAGCTCAGGAGGAACTTGGTGGGACCTTTTTGTGGCAGCCTCCTGATGACCAGCAGCAGGCACCAGCTATTTACATTAAGTAGCATCGTAAGACAACGTACACTCCAGACACTTGTGGGCAGGGCCGGGCAGGGCTCTTCGACCGATCGTTGGTCTACATGTCGAGCGTATGAGTAAAAATCTACATGTTCGGTTTCGGTTTCAATCTCAAAGCAAGCAAAAAAGATTGTGGTATCTATAGAGTGAACCGCGGAATCTGTAGATGTTTCTCGGTACCAAGCACGGTAGCTGTAGCCGTTTAAGTCGAAATAACAGACTCATTCGCGCTAGTAGCGTCCTTGCTCCTAGTAGCGATGCCCTTTGCTCCTAGTAGCTTCTTGCTCCTAGTAGTAAGGCCAGGAGCCCCTAGTAGCAAGCCCATGTGGTGTGTGCTATTTGCCAGGTATTCTCCTATGAGATCTATTTGAGCAACATTGGATCTACGGATGCAGGCCTTCATCCCAATGGAACCAAGGACCTCCTCCATTGAGCCACACTCATTCTTGATCATTCTCTACCTTTGCTCCTAGAGTCCTTTATCCACTTTATTGTTCTTTCTACCCCTTGTGTTTGAAAACCTCTCCTTCTTGTTTCTGCCATTTAGCATGCTTTATTATACGTGTGGTCAGGACTGGACTCAGCTACCTAATGGGAGTGTTCCGGTGGGCACTCACGACCTCCAGCTGCTCCCTGACACTATGCCGCAACTAATTTTGGATGTTTCATGGTGTTAGAAACAGATATTTTGGATATACGTTTCACAGGAGCATAGAAAATGGGTGCTTTGGGTTTTGGGTTTTCAGGATGTAAGCCTTAAGGATTATCCATCTGCGGCCAGCTTCGTCCTCATCTATACTCGATCTTTGTTGGTGGAACAGACCACTCCTGTGGGCTCTTTCTTGAATGACTCCGTGGCGTCGGTTCGCAATGTGTCCTTCACAGATTTGGATTTGGACAACTTGGAGCTGGGTGGAAACGTCCCTGGTCTTAATGTGATCCTATTTGAGCCTGCACGAGGATGGTGCATTCATAATGCATTCAGCATCATTCAGCATATTTTTCCTATAGCTTCCCTCTCTCAAGCGGCAGTCGTCCATGCAAGCTGTCCCCCTGGTTTCATTATTGCTATGCTATGGCCGCTATGGCCCTCATCTAGAAATATCGATCCATTCTCTATCTTCGCTTCTCCCCTGTCAGTTCTCTACCGCAAGAGGTCAACAAGTTGAGAAATCAGCTTCCTTTGACAAAGCTGGCGAAAGAGACAGGTCACATGGGATGATCCACCAGTAGAAGAGCAAGGATATCTAGCGGAATTCTTCGATGTCTACCTGTCCGAGGAGGGTTTTGCACTTGAGCTGAAACGTCCTGACACAATCATGTTCATGCTTAGTTCAGCTTCAGCTTCAGCTTCACGCTTTGGAGTCCAGCCATGTTGCAGGGGGCCTTCATCGGACGTTCACACATCCATTCAGCCCCTGCTGGAACAAACTTTGCATCGCTGGCACCAGAGACTGACATAAGGTGCAGCAGATTTTGTCCTCACCGGGCACAAACCTGAAGGTGTTTGGATATGTTTTCAGCGTCAACGTAGTTCGACTCTCAACGGCAGGTCCTTCTCGGAGATCTTGGTTTTCACTCGCTCCACATTGACAGAGCAGACCACGCCCAGATCCTTCCATCTCAGCGACGTCGGCCGTTACGTCCTGAATTTGAACTTCCCGGATCAGGAGAAATGAGAAACGACACGAGAAACAAAAATATTATATACAGTAAACATATATTATATATACAGTATCTGTATATATATATATATACTAGTATGTATTTGTTGTATTACTTATGTGCACGCATGTAAACATGTTGAACAATTGCAGAGACCATCTCTTGCAGGATCTGGATGCTGGAGAGCTTGGTGGAAACGTAAGTTGGAGCGAGCCGCAGGAGACGCAAAGAATGTATGAGGGCGTAATCGCGCCAGAGCGGTCACTCAAGCCTATGAGGGCCAAGCATTGATCAACCAACAGGGCCAGGCATTCGCTTGGACCTTGAAAGTAATTAGAAAGTTCCTTGTAAAGAGTGACTTGCATCAAAGACCTGTAAGCTCCACAAAACCTGTTTGTCTTGCTAGTTGTGCCTCTTGACCATGAGACATCGGGCCACCGGACCGCTGTAGTCGTGCCTGATAGACTTGTGACCGATGTGACAAAGACTGTTCTGAAATGCTCCTTGAGCTCGGCTAGCCCAGTTGCTTTTTGAGGCAAAAGGTTCAATGCTTTGGATACCAGGACTCATCACTGGTCGCGAACTATGTGGTCTATCTCGCAGATTTGGGAGGCGATCGGGTTCAAGCAGCAGACACCACGGAGGAGCGGCTTTGATGTGTTTCCTTGACAACGCAAACAAAACTGTCAAACAAAGTTGTGGCTCGTACATAGCCATGGTATCCTTGCGAAATCCAAGCTCCAACAAAGGATGTAAAGGACCACATTGTTTGTGCTCAAAGCATTGGGCTGGCATTCCACAGAATTGACAGAGCTCCGAGGACGGTTGTACAGTCTGCTCTTTTTCGCAACTTTAATCAACATTTGAAATCACCTTGCAGGTTGGCTCTACCGTTGTAGCGATGAACCCTGACACATTGGTGCTCAACTATACCCATGTGGTTGTCTACACACAATCATCGCTGGTTGAACAAAGCACACCGCGAGCCATTAACATCAGTGATTCTGTGGCAAGTGTCTCTGGTGTGCAGTTTGTGGACGAGGCCGGGCAGCAGGATCTATGCTCGCCCCAGATGCAGCTTTTGGACTCACTACCGGCACTACCCTTACATTCTTTTTCTCAAAGCATCTCAAAATGTTCCGTTACGTGTGTTTTCTACATAATCAGAGCGCTCTAATGTTGCCTGGAGATGCCTGGAGCCCATAAAGCCTTCGTTCAAACAGGCGGCATCAGTCTTAGCTTTCAAGTGAACTCCAGTCTTTTTGAAAGCGCTGCGATATCAGTGGTTTCCATTTTGCAGGACTTGGATGTTTTGGAGTTGGGTGGAGAGATCCTTTGGACGAAGCCTCTGGATGACTCCTTTGTCACCTTCTACGATGTGTAACATAACAGCAAAAACAGCAAGCAGAGCGGTACGAAGAGTTTGTCGAAACTGAGTCAGAATCGGCAAGCCAGGCCAATCGGGGATTTTGAACCTATCACATGGTGGTGTTTGAACCAGGGTGTTTTCTGTCCAGATGTTCATTGCAAGATGACCAAGGTATTTAGGGAACAGCAGCATGGGCGCTTTTCGATCTCAGCTGGGCCTTCCTGTTCCAGTTGGCACTTTGCAGACGTTTGCACCAGTGGATTTGCCACAGGACAAGTGGGATTGAGCCGTTTTGTTTGTCAGGCTAAAAACTGAAGAACTACACTCCTCCTGACAGTTTGCGTACAGCAAGGGTGTTCTTGAGGGAGAAGGTTGTTACGAGCATAGCCATGAGGCGACCCGAGTGGATTGGATGGAGCGTTGATTTCATGATGTCATGCCTCTCGAATTATTCTCATACCACTGTTGTCCTTCAAGGTGTGGCGCAGGTAGCACACGGTCCCACACGTAGCAGAGTCCGTTTGCTTGGTTGAATGAGGCTTCTTTCTGTTCTCACCTCTCACCAGTTCTTTCATAGTCACTTTCATATCCTTTCAGCTCAATGCACAGGAACTCCGCTCTCACATTCTGGTCTACACTCGTTCGGTCCTTGTTGAGCAGTCAACACCTACCGCAATTGAGATCAGTGACACGGTTTCCGATGTGCTCAATGCAGCTTGGTCAGAAAATGGTACGTAAGGAGTCATGTCTTTGTCCATCACTGCAGGTGTTGACAAATTGTTGAATAGGGCAGGCGTTGACACATCAATGTTTCGTGAAGAAGTCTAAGAAGGAACCCGTGAACTCAGCTAATTTTGGAGGAATCCATCAGGTCACATTTATTGATGAAGATTTGGATTTGCGTGATTTGGGCGGCTACATCTCCTGGGAGCACCCTCTTGACGTGAAGCAGGTGACAGCTTATCATGTTTACATTTCGTGCCCAGACAGCAATGAGGCAGTCTGAATTTCACTAAGAGGGCGGATCTCAGGCAGGATCCTGCTGGATTGGGTCGTTCTCAGATTTCCGAGATCTTGGTCAATGAGCAGCTTCCACTGCACTTACGCAAGCTCCCAGCAAGTCATCATGGCTCGTTGCCACAAGATCTGAGGTCCCTGCGGGCCTTTCTGAGATCTGATCAACCGCTGTCGCAATACACGGATGTGCTAGTTTACAGCGAGTCCAGCCTTGCCGAGCAGACAACTCCTGTGGTCCTTTGTCATGTTTCATACTTGTGTTTTGACTGTGATGAAACTGAGAACTGAAGGTTCTTCAGGCATTTTTGCTAACTGTGTTTGTGACATGTTGTTCTTCACCGTTCTTTCCGTCTTTGATCCTGCTATACAGCTTTGACAAGCGGCGTTGGCACCAAGACTTCCTGGACATACCATATACCCAAACCATCCATATGTGTTGATTAGGCCTTGAAGATTTATGATGCGGAGTCTCTCGTCATCAATGCCAACTTCACAGACCAGGTGAGGCTGACCAGTACCATGCAAACAGCCGTTCAACTTTGTGCGAAGCCGTTCACTCAAGAAAGCTTCCATGAAGTTCAGACTTTTGAACATTACGATTTGTAGTCATTTGTCTTTGGATGTCTGTAGGATCTGGATGGAGAAGAGCTGGGTGGAACTGTTGAATGGCAACAATCCGGCGACTACCACTTGGTTGTCGCGTATGATTTGTACCTCTACCGTATACCAGTTGTTGAGCAATATTTTGGCAATGTGCAAGTCAGTCTGTCTCAACTCAGAACAGACAGTCACTCCAGCGACCTTCCCTAAAACATTGTATATACATGGGACATGCAGGTGGGAGTAGCAACATTGCAAATGCAATGGACGGAGCGGTTCTATAAGTGGGGAAGTTCCCTAGAGTAAGAAATGCGTTGACAGCCATATGACCGAGATCGTTTGATCTCGCTGGATCTTGGTTTGCTACTGATTCTCAGGTACCTCGCTAGAAGTGCCAGTGGAGTATCTCGATCTCGCCTCAATGTAGCTTGGCTTTTGAAAGGGTCAGATGAGCATACGGAGCAGCAATGCATCAGCAAGTCTTTAGGAATCATTGGCCTCTGACGTTTTCCGGCTGGATCTGGCTCCGGAGTTGCCGTTGGACATGGCCACACACGTGGTGATCTACACACGCTCTTCACTGGTAGAGCAAACTACGCCAGTGGCAATCAATATCAGTGATCCTGGCGTTATTCAATACTGCTTTAGTGTTGCAACGCAATTTTCTTCAAGATGTGTTATTCTTTTTTCAAAGAATGAGTACAGTACCGGGTCCTTTGTATGGATTTCTCCTTTCCAGCATTTTCTTGCACAGGGGCAGTGAGAGGTGGGGTGTACTAGTAATTAGTAAACGGCATACGGTATAAGCCTTATACATAGGTATAGAGTATAGGGTGTACACCTGTCCTGTAATGGTGAATTTGAACATGTTCATCGTGAGAGCTGAACCACGGGATGAGCTAGGCGATGCTGATTGGAACGTGCAGTGGGTGTGGCTCACCTGAATGATAACACATGCTGGCCAAAACGTGTTCAGACCCAAGTGGAGCCAGCAAACGGCTATTGCTATTGCGGCATTGCGGTCCAAAGATGTGAAACTTCAAGCCGATATCAAGAGATCACATGCAGGTCTTTCTATGACATGGATTTGGATGGTGGGCAGCTTGGAGGGGGCATCAGCTGGGCAGCACCGGCAGAACTGACTTTAGTCACCCACTACGTAGTCCCTCGGTTCAGATTGCTCTTTCGACCAGCCGCTGGCACGCAGAACCTTCCTTTGGCCCCTTCTGTCTTGATTTTGTTCTAGAAGTGACATGTAGACTGGCACGAGAGGGCTTTTTATAGAGAATGTCAACAAGTTGGTACCTTTTCAGACGGCTTTGACACCCTAGTCGTTGCATGCTGCAGGCATACCTTGCGGCCAATGCTTCGGGAGATCTTCGATCTCAAATCGGATCGCATGTGCCAGTGGGGACGAACTATGTGGATTTGCCGCCAGAGACACCAATGGATGGACAGGGCTGGAAAATTCGCACAATTGTTACTACTAGTAAGGCACTTGTTTCTAATAGCTTCTTGTTACTACTAGTAAGGCACCTGTTACTACTAGCGTGGCACTTGTTACTAGTAGCGATGCACTTGTTCCTAGTAGCTTCGAATCATCTAAGATTTGTTCAGCTGTCGTATTTCTCATGTTGGCCCCAGAGGGATCAGCTCTTTCCCAGTATAGGCTTCATCCGTAGCTCTAAACGATGTTCAACCTTCAAGATTCCTGTAGATACTCCAATCACGAACCTGAACTTTGTGTGGTGCCGCTGTTTCGCAGGAGTTCTGACAAACATCGTTGTCTACACAAAGTCGGCGCTGGTGGAACAGACCACACCAACTTCAATGGAAGTGAATGACACCTCTTCCTCTGTTTCCAACATTGTGTTTCTTGGACATGATGTGAGGGCTAATTAGAAGATATGACATTATCCATCCGCAAACTGCAGAACCTTGTGCGATAGCCAAGCGTTAAACTTTTGAAGTTCCTGCAGTTTTGTGAGGGGCCCAGAGACTCGGTTTTGAACATTAGGTTTGTGGATAATGACTTGGACGAGATGGAGCTGGGTGGCAACATCACTTGGTCGACACCAGTAGATTCATCGCAAGTGACTCTCTACTCTGCGCCTTGGGTTCGTTGAGTACCTCCACTGTTTGATGCGGAATGCACATGTAGGCTTATTTAAAAAGCAGGGCAATGTAGTCGCTCTAAACACTCCAAAGATGCTCAGGTCTACCTGTCCACCAGCTTTGATGCTGAAAACCGGTCCATCGTGGCAGAGGATGTTTCCATTGGCACGAACACTGCACTACTGCCGGCAGAGACTGCGATGCGAGACTTTGCAGAGAGTGGGGTTGCACGTAGGCTTTCGAGCTTGTCCAGTCAAATGCAAAAGTCTCAAAGACCTCTCAACTGTTCTCAGTAGTTTGGTTTACAGGCTTACAGGACTTCAGCGATGTGCTGGTGTGATACTTGCAGCTTGAGATGCACATAATCATCTTGGTTTACAGCAGCACGGCCGCAGCCCAGGATGGTTTACATACGTCAACATCTACACAAAGTCTCCAGTGATTGAGCAGACAACGCCCGCCTCACTTTTTATCTCAGATACAATCGCGTTGCTTGGCACATTCAAGGTTGACCAATAATACAAATTGCATGTCAACATACCCTGAATATCCCTGAATCACAATTCGTCACTACATAACCACAAAGCTGTGAAGAATGGGACGATGGGACCTGCTTCGGGACAAGCCGATGCGGACCTCGAAGGCTCATTGCAGATCTTGAACTCGTCGATCAAGACTTGGATGCCACTGAGATTGGAGGGAACGTCTCGTGGAAAGTCCTCCAGGATTTCGCTTTGATCTCGCATTTCTCTGTGTGCCCTGTTGATATTGTGAATGTAATAGAAACATGGATAGAATTGCTAGGATTTCCACAGTCCAAAGGTCAAAAAGGTGTTGCCTATTCTTGTGGGAAGTTCCTTGGCTGCTTGTGATGTTTGCTGCTTTGCGGATTGGCATCTTCAGGTACTTCACCGATGATACTTCTTGGCAAGCTGCAAGACTCCGTGCTGGTCAGGACAGACCCACCGATTGCTTTTGTAACATGCAGGTGTATCCGTATCCCGAACTCTGTTACGGGTTATAAGTTATAAGTTATACAATATTACATTTTATAGAGCTCATAGAGATAGACAGACCGTATTTAGTTGTGCAGTTCGTTAGCATTACATGGTATGCATTTCTAGTCGTGAGGATGTACAGGCTTCAGAGTATGCGGAACTCTTCATTCCAGCGGAGACTGATCCCCCGTTGGCCACATACGGCTTCTCGGTTTGAATCTGCAATCAACGGATCGCCCATCATCTCTTTGTGCTTCAGGATTCAGAACAGCACAGGCAGAGTGTCCAATTCCCACAAGCTTGATTCTTCCTTTGCTGCACTTTTGTAGTAATTAGCTACATAGACGAGCAAGATCAAACAAAGACTAGCGGGCTTAGCAGTAGTTGTCGGTCGAGGATTTGTTTGTTGAGGTTTTCTGTCGGTCTTTCCTTCATCTTCCTTAGCTGAGCGGACCACACCCTTCTCAGCTGTCATCAACGACACCATCTCTCCCGCTGCTTACCTTCAAGAAGGTAATCATAGGTAATCAATGCAGGTGCAAACAGACTGTGGGGCTGGATGTTCCAAATCGTCCAAGGTCTACAACATTAGCTTCGTGGATTTGGATATGGATTTGCAGGAGCTGTGATGCATACACTGTGTGACATTTAGAAGCTGGCGGAATTGGCAGGACTTGGGCGGCACAATCGCGTGGAATGAGCCTTTGGAAGCTTCACAGGCCAAGCGTTCTCACGCGACAAGATTTTGCCAGAAGGAATCTAAGAGCGCCCTGTCACGACGAGGTGACTCACTACTTGGTGTACTTGACGATGAATGCCAGCGAAGGACAATCACTTGTGGCCGAGGCGAGATGGGAAAATGAAGCCAGACATTCTTGTTGCCCTCCACATCTCTTTTGCGACACTCATGTTTTAATGGCTGTTCGAGATTGAATTACATGTGTGTAGCCTTCCCGACCTGGCAGATGATACATAGTACACGATGCAGTTATGACTTTTGACTGCTCAGTTTGTCATTTGGCGAACTATGAGTAGTTCTTATAGTCTTAAGGGTCGCAGCTGCTGTGCTTAAGTTATCACACCCTTCAAGAAAGCAATGGAAGGTGCCTTCCACTGATGTCTTGGTTCAGCTGGCGCCAGAGACACCTGCACAGACCTTTATAGCTCCTTGGACCATTTTGGACCATTTGTGTATTGCCAGCTGAATGGCCCATGGGACGGCGGTAGATCACAACTGACACAACTCTAACCTAATAGCTTACAACCTACTAGCGACGGCCTCCAACCAAATAGCGACGGCCTCCAACCTAATAGCGATGGCCTCCAACCTAATAGCGATGGCCTCC